ATATATATGTATACATATATATTGAGTAAATTAAGGCATGTAAAATGAAAATAGAGAAAACTTCAACATGATTTAACAACATTTTTCTCTAATCAATGGCTTGCATAGTTTTCTTTTTATATATATAAAAGATTCATTAACATAAACATGCAAAGTAAAAATCAGTAAAAGACTGATGCTAATTACAATTTAAAAATGTTTCTGATATATAACACATATGCTTTTCAATGATTAATTGCTTGTATGTACATAAGTTAATGAGAAAGAATGGAAATATTCTACAGTGTGACGAAACATAGTTTTAACAAATGACTTTATACAAATATTTCAGGTAATGCATCATCAATCCCTTTTATCAATTCATTTTTTTTCCCGTTTTTTTTTTTTTTGTTAAGAGATATTTCATCTAAAGATAAAAAGAGTAAAATCTTTACACACACAATAAGAAACATGATAACACTTGAAATGTGAAATTTACAGAATTGCATAGGGATATTCACTTATGTACAATATGTATAGGAGATAATGCATTCAATTATGGGTTCGAATAATTCATACAGAAAAAATGCATTCTTTCTGGCACTTAATGTTTATATACAATAAACCACAAGTTTCTCCAATAAGTTAAAATTGATTTTGCCAAGAGCTTTAAATGCACCCAACGCAATAGAAAAACCATGGATCAGTTTCATAAATTATTCCTGTCCTGTCTTTCTTTTCCAGAATAACACTATACATACAAACTGTACATAGACATGTACAATCATTATAAAACTATATTTGACCTTTAATATATATATATATAAATATATACAAAGTCAAAATGATACTAGTGTGTGTTTGTTGTTTCACCAAGTCATTGTTCATCACTGGGCTATTGATTTAACTAATGGTAAAAGCATTAGGAGGATGCTTTAGATTTAATGATAGAGGGTAGAATATTTTTTTCACCACCAAAGTTGTCAATCCGAAATCCGTACTCAGTGATGCTGAACACAAACTGTAAGCAGCCACACTGTATGAAACTTCCATGGTGAAGAAGAGCCGTTCCTTCCCAACCGATGCTGGTATTCTCCATCCCATTTAAACCAGAGCACTGGCACGGCTTGGGATGCTGAAAGATAAAAAGAATGAGCTATTGAGCACAAAAATTCAAAGAGTTAGGACAAATTTTACTTTTTAAATTATAGTAAATACGAGCTTGATACTTTTGAAGTAAATACGGGCAGTGTTTGCCTCCCAATGAGGTGAACGGGGTTCGAATCCCAGAGAGGACTGGTCGATACAAATTCTGCACCTAGCTTGCACCAATCGCAGTGCTGACGTAAAATATCCAACCAGTAGTTCAGGGTGCGCAGTCAGATTTTTTCATAAAAAAATAAGCACCTTTTAAGCACTCAAAAAATATTTTTAATCACTTTCCATTAAAAAAAAATCAATACTAGGATCTGTGCAATAACAAAAATGAGTTTTTTTTCTATCCTTTTAAAGTTCTTAATTTATAAACATAAAATCAATAAAATTCAAAAACATTTTCAAAAACGTTACATAATCATGATAAAATAACTAGCTGTTCTGATAAATATTGCAGAGAAAATTATAAAAATCATGAATTTTTTGTAATTTAGAATGACAATCGATACGGCAAATAAAAAATCTCTTCTTAAAAAATAAAAAATTAAGTACTTTTTACAAACACCAAATAAAAAAAGCATTTTCAAGGGCTCTAAAAAAACGTAAATCAAAAATAAGCACCTTTAAGCACGTTTTAAAAACACTAAGCACCCTGTAGTTGTATTAATATGAAATTAATTAATACAACTACTGGTTAAAAATGATTGGAATATTAAACATAGCTAAGCTAGGTAATTTATCAAATTTTCTTTATAAGTAAGTGGTTTTGATGAAGAAAAAAAATTGCGGAAAAGTTTTTTTTCAAAAACTTATTTGGTAATGTCCGAACACGAAAATATCTACGAATATTGCTAGTCTCCCAATAAGGTGACCCAGACTCGAATTCCAGCGAAGGCTGGACGATACGAATTACCACCTGACTTGCACCGACCACAGTGTGGACGTAAAATATCTTCATTGATAGGCAGATCATACATTAGAATCTTCTTGCCGTCAGGCTAACCGTGAGAGGTTTTCCTGGTCTTCTTTTCCGTGTGCAACGCAAATGCGGGTTAGTTCCATCAGTCCTCCGTGGAGGCAAATTTCTCTCCAATTATTAATCCAGGAGTTCCCTTGTCTTCTGGATTGGGCTCAAAATTACAAAGATATCGAATTGAACATGACTAGTCATACACCCGAAAAATTAAGTCGGCAAATCAACGACGGTTATAAAAAATAAAATAAGTAAATATGAAATGAAAAGTAGTACAAGCAGGGTCGCCACTGAAAAAAATTCCCTGTGTTTTCCCTGTACATATTATACACAATACATTAAGAGGAAAAACACAATCCCTGTACTCTTGTATGAGCGGTATTGGGGTAACTATACTAGCTATAATTGCTGAAAAAGACTTAAGGAAAAGAGGAGCAGCTGAACATACATAAAACATGCAACGATACAGTAAATGAACTAGTTTAATACAGCTGAAATATCATCCTTAAAAATTCCATACATTGCACTTTGAGTGGTTACCATTTTTTAAATGACGAAATTAAGAAAAAAAAATTCCTGTATTTTTGCTTAACGAACTTAAAGAAAAAAGGAACAGCTGAACATACTTAAAACAAATAATGGTATAGAAAATGTACTAGTTTAAAATAGCTGAAAAATCATCCTTAAATATCCCATAGATTGAACTTAGGGTGGTTACCATTTTTTAGAAGAAGAAAATAAACAAAATTCCCTGTATTTTGTCAGTTTCTAAAAAAAAACCCCCCTCAAAATTCAATGCTATTTTAGGTGATTTTTAAATTCTCTGTATTTTCCAGGTTTTCCCTGTTTAGTGGCAACTTTGATATACAGCATTACAACAATGTATTTCTTTGATCCTCAAAAGAATGTTGCAATGAAGTTTTGCTGTATAACATATATTTTAAAAAGATTCTCACGCCATTTCCTCTAATTGCATACCTGTTTATCTCTTGCAGTCACCAATGATTTTCCAAGAGATGGAACTGGCTGTGGTGGAAGATCAACTACTCTTGATGATGATTTTGCTAGCTTTCTCACAGCAGCGGACAAAGAATTATGAGCCGGAGACATTTTATGCTTATCAGAATAATCAGAAGCGTAATACACATTATCTACAATAGTACCATGAGGACTATAGTTTATCAACTCATAGTACTTTGTGACCTGAAAAGAAAAAAAATTAACTTAGCACACATAATAAAAATAAAGAAAATTGGCTACAACTCTAAACTGTTTTATTGCTTTAGAGCTAATAGAATTATGTTAAGAACAGGAACAAAATGTAATGACCTCTCTCAACAGATTATGGAAAATTTCCTAGGGAAAAAATAAAACCTACAAAAAAGAAACACTTTTAAATAGTATAATTTATTTTACTTTTCAGATACAAAGAAGGATATATTACCAATAAAGCAGCAAAAACTTCAGATATTGAAATGAAGAATGAACGAAAAAAAATTTTGCGAGCAAATTTACACATGTGAAATCGAAATTATCATACTCTTTTAAAGTCGGTGAGATAATAACTGTCTCACTTATCCTTGCCCCATATTGTATTTGATCCCAGGAAGGTTGACTCAGCCTTTCATTCCTTCAGTGGGTTGATAAAATGGATACCAAGGATGCTTGGGGACTAAACACTGGGGGTTCTGCGTCCCAATGACCACCCAACTGGAACATCTTCCTTTGCACCCCAGAACCCAAGGTCATGAAAACTGAGTTGGGCACATTAGGCCTTGGCCTTTTATGGGTTGTCGAACCATGAGTTAAGTTTAGTTAGAATGCTTCAATCAGGAGATGTATAGAAACATCTATAACATGAAGACAGCAGGTTTAAATCATGCCTTAACCCTAGATGTACCTTTGTAATGTCCTTCCCAAATTTGCGTTATTCATTCTTAAATTTGACATGGATTTAGAAGTAGGGCTGTTTGGTCGGCATGGAAATGATTGACTCCCTCACATATATATATATATTTCTTTTATAACCGTCGTTAAACAGCCTGCCAAATTTTTGGTTTTACGATTACTAATGTTCAACTCTGTAGCCTTGTAATTTTTAACCCAATCCATCAGACAAGGGAACTGATGGATCAAGAATTGGGAGGAATTTGCCTTTGTGGAGGACTTTATGTTGGAACTAACCCACATTAGTGTTACATGGTGAGGAAGACCACGAGAACCTTCCATAGTTAGTCTGACGGCAAGGGGACTCTAATCCATGATCCATCTACCACTAAGCATATTTCACGTCAGCACTGTGGTCGGTGCAAGCCGGATGTGGAATTTGCATTGACCAGCCATCGTTGGGATTTGAACCTGGTTCACCTCATTGGAAAAAAACACCCTGTCCCCTGAGCCATCACAGCTCTCCCTCATACATATGTAAACATATACACATGTGTTACAGCTTATTTATTAATTTTTTTTTTAAAGAAAAGAAGCAACAAATGCTACAGAAAACATTGATGTCATAGCAAATTATTTATATTAATTAGCCTTTATTATGAATTTGAAAAACTGACAAGTAATTTCTAAGAAACTGTACATCTTCTGCAAGATCTTCTTTGATAAAGGACCATAGATCCGATTTGATAAACTTTAGAGCTGAGAATTGTCTTTCCACACTAACTTGAGTAGGTGGAAGAGCTGTTACTATTGTGGTTACTTTTTTAAGCTTTTCAGGGTAGATTAGCATAAGTTCTGAAAAAGGTCTTCAGATTTTTCTATTTCTTCAAATGCGGTGTAGAGACCTTGTTTATATTAACTCATTCTTATAATCTAAAAGCTTTCGTTTCTTTTACTTCCATTTGCTTTACCTTAGCCAGTGTTTTCACTACAGCGCGAGAATCAAGCATATATTTTTCTTTTCTCGCATTAAAAAATGATTACCGCGAGAAATTCGGGTATTCTATAAATCAATTTCAAAATTCGTTGCATTTAGGAAAAAGCTTCGAATTACGCCATATAGAATAAAATCCATTTCACTTTTTCTTTCATTATTTTCAACATCTGCCTCGTTATCTAGCCTACCTATTTACCAGTATTGTTCAGAACCTTTTCGAACAACAGAACACAACCACGGAACCCCTTTCAGAACACATTTCTCTGCAACCACGTGTTTACCGTAGGTAAGGTTTTGTTCACGTAAGACGTTCAAATTTTTTATGTGCTAATGTAAGATGGACAAATACCTTGTAAAGGCAAAATCTTCTACGATGATGCACCAAAAATATTCAATGCTTTAAAAAATAGAAGACGTTAAAAATGTATTATAATTAAAGAAATGTTTTTTTCTCTCAAGAGTTTGTGTTTTTTTAGTTTTTAGAAATCTCACCCTGTTTTTGAGAAAGGGTGAGAAATTCTCATCCATTTTTTTCCTACAATGAAAACACTGTTAGCCTTTTTAATATTATCAAATTGTTTCTGAAAATCTAATTCATAACAGGAAGAGGACAATAGAGACTTAGTTACAATGTCTGATTGTCCTGATTTGAATACTACAATTGTTATAAGAATAATTTTATTTTTGGTGAAAGTTCATAGATAGCTTTGCCTTTGAATTTGTTTGTAACCCAACAAAGCTCAAACTCAAACCGTTTAACAAAAACTAGAGTCTGCATCAACAGGTTTTTAGCAAACCCCTGACTAAGACTCTTTTTACCCCAAAACTTGCTAAAATTCCGATTTTACAACCCCGTATATGTATGTATAACAGTAATCAAACAGACATACAATAACGTCAAATCTTATTGCCGTTATTGACAAAAAATTCGGTTATAGTTCTTCTTGCCACACAAAGGGTTTAAAATATATTAGTTTATGTGATTTAAATTTCCCATGTTATTTTTTTTAATAATATATCACAAATTATTGAACATTTAAAACACTTATTACGAATAGTACAAGTAATCCATGATTGATTTCAATATTTTAAGTTAAAATGAATAATTTTCGAACTTAGTGTTAAAAGCTTTTACCTCATCATAGAAAATAGATGCATGTTTTGCAGACACATAGTTACAATATCCATAATTGGGAAAATAGATATCCATATCAGCACCTATAAAAAATGTCTCCATCATAATTGGGTACACAATATGATGTAAAATCAATTTCAATGTATTTTTAAATTCAGATAATTCATTCTTCTCACACTTAAAAAAATCACGTTTAAGTGTACGAAAAGTTAAAACTTTAATGTGGATTCTTGCTTTTTATGTTTAAATTACAATGATGTTTTAAAGTGATTTTTTTAAACTTTTTTTCTTTTTTAAGTTATTTTCCTTAATTTGCAATCAATACTTATTCTAAACTTTACATTGTTTAACACATGTTTTATACACTTTTCAACCAGCATTGACACGATTTAAATAGCAATCTGAGCCACTTGATATTTAAAAAAAAAAAAACACACACACAAAAACATTGATTTGTGCCATGAATATTTTTAGTAAGTATAATTTATATAAACATATTTCTGGTCAAGCCCCGCTTCCTTCCTTTTTTTCTTTTTTTTAAAATTCACATTTTATTGGCATAGAATTTTAAGTCCAAAGAAGAAATAATTAGGTAGGTTAACATATGTAAGTTAATATTTGATGTTACAATAGATTAATAAATAAAACTTCTAAACTATAGCTTTTCATTGGCTGTTTAATTGGTCCTTTTAAAGATTTTTAAAAGCAATTGTTGTCGAAGTTTCTATTTAACTTTCTTTTTTAAAATTTTTGTTTTTATAGAGGTTTTTAATAAGACGTGGCAGTTATCATGTTTTTTTTAGATTATTCTTTTTTCTTCACTTTTTCTTGAAAATATAGTAATATGAAAACTAAGATGCTTAGCCTATAATTTTTTTCTCCAAAAATTAAGATCTATTTTTATTTTTTCTATTTTGCTTTTGTTTATATTTTTATGGGAGTTTATATGACTGCAGGGCATTTTCAAAAGCCTTTCTGATAGACTATATATCTTTTAATGTTACATTGATACTTTTTTACCGGAAAATATTATTTTTACCATTAAAGTCTTGTTTTACGAATTAAGAATTTTTTTCAATCAGTTAGCCAGTTTAATGTAATAATTAGTTCTAAAAGTTTTAGGTAATAATTATCTTTATTACCTTATATATTTTTATTATAGTTTTTTCTCTTTGCCCCATACCAAACAAATAATATAGCTAAGTTTTGAATATTTTTCAATAATGACTTAACCTATTTATATATAAAAAATATTCATCAATGTTCTTTTTTTTTTGTTACATGGCTTACAGGCTTTACATAAGCTTGGTTTTGAAAAAAAATATGTATTTATTGTACCAATGCTTAAAGATGTAAGAAAACTGAAATTATTTATTAGAAATCTTTATAATCAAAAACAGATTGATTAAAATAATATTGATGAGGAAAAAAAATCCGTAAAAGTGGGAACTGGATAAGTTTTAAACTATACTATTTGATACATAAAGTGCAAAATAATAATTTGATATGTTTCTTCCTCCGTATATATAGTGATGTCATATTCATTGAAATGAATATGACAACCAATACTGCTAATTGCTGAAATCCCCCCCCCCAAAATTCATGTTTTCCTTGTCGTCCAGAGTGAGGGGCCACCCTGATATGAGCAATTTAAAATGAAATAAAAATTAATAGCCTTAGATAATAACAAAAAAAAATATAATTTCAATATTATTTATAGTTTCTTACCAAGGCCAAGATTGAGTGTTCTATATGACATTGAAACAGGAAAACCTTTCTTGTCAATCGGGCATACTACAGCTCTTCCTCTGACTTCTTGAGAAGCTGAAAATAAATGGGAAAGTTTAGAATACAAAACTTAAAGAAAAGCAAAAGACAATTATTAACAACATTAATTTGGTATTTAAAAAAAAGTCCTTTTCAATTAGAAACAATATTTTTATAGCACAAGTTAAAATATTCATTTGTTTAGATATTTACTTTAATTTCTGAATAAGAAACTAGTGTTTGTACATAAATATCACCGACTTACTTCCAACATAGTTTTCTGCAGAAGTTTTGTCATCAGTTACTTTGTATTTCTTCTTTGGAAAGATCTGCTCTAACCTTTGTAAAGCAAGTAAATGAACAAGTTTCTCATCCACTTTACTAATTTCAAAATCTGAAACAAATACATTAAATAATCATTATCAAGTTTCCTGTCAGGACAAAAAGACAGAATGCATGTTAATTCAATGAATGCAAAGGAATCTTTTCCAATGCCATTTAATTATTTTTCTTAGCTAGCGTAAATATCTTTCCAAATTGATATTTCCTAAGCAACCATGTTACTAAAGGATTTTTTTTTTTTTGGNTTTTTGGGGGGGGGGGGAGAACTTTTTCTTCAGTTGCACTGAATTTATATCAATAAATAATAACTTTATTCCTAAGTATATACAATAAGAACAAAATTATTTTTTTCTTAAATGATAAAAAAAACAAAGAATATATATCGGGGGTAATTGTGACTTGGAGCAAAAAGCCCTGAACATTTAATGTGCAAAAAATAGATATCAATTCATATACCATCACATTTAGCATAATTTTTTGAACTAAAATTTACTATTAAATAACCTACTAATGAAGATGAGTAATTTACTCAAATACTCGATTCAAATTTTGATTGTAATAAGATCGGAGTTTCAAAAACCACGAGAAAAATCAATAAATTACATTAACAGCAGAAGAAAAACATGAATCGAACATAGATCAAAACATGGATTTACGATGATATTAAGCGTGTTAAAAAGTGATTACAGAAATGCACAGTTCGAAATTTCCATGTTGTATGATCATATTAAAAATTTATTTGATCTTATAGTGAGCAAATAAAAAATGAGGTGAAAAACATATCCTATTGATTATTTTTTCTGTTATAAATCAGAATTTGCAACAAAATTGTTACATATTAAAATACAAAATTTTAAAAAAGGAGAAAAAATCTTTATTTCTAGCGAATGATCATTTAAATGCTTGCCATTTTGGAATTACTTTTTTGATTACAATTTTATACTTTCGTGATTGCCTCAGTGATCTGTGTAAAAAAAAAAAAAAGGTTATCGCGAGAATGAAAACTTAGGAAGAATAAGAAGAGGGCGCTGGTAAAGGTGGAATAAATGTCTGGTTAGAAGATTTTGAGTAAGTAACTAAATTTAAATTTTAGATCAGAGGAACTTCAAGAAAAATTTGGTCTGAATATAAATTGATTCATGTGCGAATGAGAATTTAGGAATAAAAAAGGTCTATGTCTTGTTAACGAGACTTTGCGTGAGTAATGAAATTTAAATTTTAGATATGTGGAACTCCAAGAAAATTTTGTCGGAGTATAAATTATTACTTCGTGTAAGTCAACCAGTCTTGAGATTCACCAAGTCCCGCGAATTAGCAGAAGAATCACATGCTAGCAGATAACACTTGCTAGATAAAATATCAATTTTAATATTTCAGAAAATTTATATTATACTGCATAAATAAATAAAACAACTCAAAATTAGCTAATTAATTTTATCTGGAAATATAGAGATTTTTCTGTAGCATCTCAGGATGAGTCTGGATGCAGTTTAATTATTACATTGAAATCCTTTAAACAAATGTTAGGAGGAATTTAAATAGTAGTTAAGAAATAAGATTTTCTCTGATACTGTCTGACTCTGGTCGCTCTCTACAATATTTGCTTTGGTGTTGTAAACATATTTCTATTAAATTGAGAAAGGCTAATCTTTTTAAAATAGTTAAATTTTTCCTTATAATGTAATTTTAATGCTGTGTCAAGACAATCTTACCATTAGAATTTGTAACAGTAGCTTGAAGATTATTGTACAATTTCATCAATGCATTTGAATTTAAGTCATGGTTGTTAGGATGAATTTTATCTGAAAATAAATAACAATGAATAAGTATCCAAAATACATAAAATAAATCTATTATGCAAAAATGTTTCACATTTTAGTAGCCTAGTTGTATAACATTTACTTTTTTCTTCATAATGACACTAAAATTAAAAAAATTGACTAATGAATAAAAGATTCCCCCCACACTCTTAACATATGAGCTAACGTCCGTAACTAGGACTTTTTTTTTTTTTTTTTAAATTGAGTCAAATTTCAAAATGCACCCTAATTGTAGTTTTAGTTCAAAAATTAAAAAAAAAATTCTTTTAGCAGCTTTTCAAAAAGAGCTCTTCTATGAATTTTTTTTGGGGGGAATTCAGTGATATGATGGTAAGTAGATTTCTTTAATTTGGTTGATTCCACTAATTATTTCTTTTTTTTTTGGCATTTTGTAAATTGTTATCACATTAAAAAAAAAAAAAAATTAAAATCATATGACAGTAACTGCCAAAAATTTAGATCAATGATGAAATCACATGAATAGGACTTTAAAAATGGGTTACTTGAATCCGAATCTCTGCGTGCTTCGAGAATCGCTTATCGTAATAAATACAGAGCTCATTCTAGGCAGGGTAAACAGGGCGCAGCACCCTGCTGCCCTTTTAGCCAAAAGAATCCACCCTGTTGCCCCTGAAGTAAATTAGTGCCCTGATGTAATAGACTCCATGCCCCTTTTTTCCTCAACCCTTCCTTATTTTTTCCCCAAACTCTACAATGGATTTCTTAAACTTTTGTTATTTTCAACTCTTTTATTTAGTTTGTCATTGCTGGCAATACATAGTTTTTATTGACATATACATATATATATACATGCGATGGCTATTTTTCGCATATACATGCCAAAAATAGCCATCACACCCCCTTGTTGCACTTGTCTTTGAAAGTTTGCAGTAACTTCCACTATCATTAAATCATAATTATTATCAATCATTTTAATTATTAAATCATAATTACTGACACTTAAAAACATACATTATTTTATTAATATATGCATGCATTTTAAATAAATTACTAAGTTAATTAGCTCATTAACTCGATATATAAGTTAATTTATTAATAAAAATTAGTAATTAATATGATTGCCTTGCTACTTTTAGTAAAGTAAAAAAAAAATTTCTTTTACTAATAGACAATGTTTTTTAATAAAACGTGTAAAGCCCCTGGAAAGAAATTATTGCCTTTTTAGAATAATAATGCCCTTTTTTTAAACTTTTGCACCCTGCCCTTTTTT